CATGAACTAGTGGGGAGAATGCTGGAGGGTTAGAGGTACAGGATGGAGGCAGAATACTGGGAGAAAAAAATTGAAAAACTGTAATAGCATAATCAATAAAATATACTTAAAAAAACACAATGAGATATCACTTCACACCAGTCAGAATGGCTATCACCAATAAATCAACAAACAAGTGCTGGCAAGGATGTGGAGAAAGGGGAAAACGTTTGTACTGTTGGTGGGAATGCAGATTGATGTAGCCACAGTGGAAAGCAGTATGGAGTTACCTTGAAAAATTTAATGTGCACTGATTCCACTTCTGGGAATTTATCCAAAGAAACCCAAAACACCAATTCAAAAGAATATAAGCACTCCTATGTTCATTGCAGCATTATTTATAACAGCCAAGATTTAGAAACAGCCCAAGTGGCCATCAGTAGATGGATAGATAAAATGACTATGCAATAGTTGCACAATGGAATACTACTTGGCTGTAAAAAAAGAAGAAAATTCTACCCTTTGCAACAGCAGGGATGGACTCAGAGAACATTATGCTAAATAAGCCAGTGAGATAAAAACAAATACCATATAATTCCACTCATGTGGAATTTAATAAACAAACTGAACTAACAGCGAAATAGAGACAGACTCATAGAGAGCAGGCTGACATCTCTGGTGGGAAGGTGGCTAGCAGGTGGAGGGATCAAGCAAAAAAGAAAAAGAACTCATGGTCATAGACAAAAGTGTGATCAGGGTAAAAGGAGATAGGTAGATGTGGAAGAGGGAATAAGAGGAATAAATGGTAATGAAAAAAATACCATAAAATAATGTACTTTTAAAAAATAAAAGAAAAAATGTACTTAGGGGAATAGAAGAGTAACAGGCAATTCCAATGCCCAGAATGAGGGCAGGTCTGCCATTCTATTCTCTGACCATGCACTGAAAAATAAGGGTGGGAGATATCCAAAGGACAGCCCACCCGCATGGGCCCATCTTCTGCCCACAATTCAGGCTCCTTAACCATCTCCTCCCAAATTAATCCCTGGGTGATCTCCCATGCCCCACTTGGTTTGTTGGCTTTTCTTTACCACTTGTTCCCTAGATAAAATTCTCTCTGTTGAATGCCCCAGTATGGCAATGTTTGCCCAACTAAATCTCAAATGATACGATATAATTATTAGGATGATGTTGAATTTATAAGTTAACTTGGGGAAAATGACATCACTGTGGTGTTGTTTATCCAAGAACAAGACATGTTGATGTCTTTTTCCAATAGGTCAAGTCATCTATCTGTCCTTCCATCGAGTTTCAAAGTCTTATTTAGTACTTAGCTCTTTTTTTTTTTCAGTTTGTTGAGTTTATTCCTAAGTTTTTTATCCTTTGTGTAGCGAGTATAAATGGCACTGACACAAAGGATTGCTGTAAGGATCCAATAGGTAAATATATAAAGTACTTAGAGCAGTCCCTGACATAAAGTTCCATAGAAGTGCTTGCTATGATTATCATCCTCATTTGTTCTGTTGTATCCTACAACTAATTACTGTTTGAATGTGGGTCATAGTTGTTGTATCTTGATTGCTGCCTAGCTCCTGTTTAGGTGAAGCTTGGGGCATCATTTTAACAGTGTTAATCTTTAAAAAAAGGGGGGGGCAAAGTGAGAGGCAACAAGCATTTATTTGAGATCCAAAGGAATAGCTATTCAGGAAGCACTGATTTAGGAACAAACCCAAAATGCTCTGATGAGGAGGCAAAGGCAAAGGATATTTATGAAAAAGGGAAGAAGAAAAATTATGTCAATAGAAGTAAGAAATTTCTATAGGTGCAGATAAGCTAACATAGTGAAGCTAATGCTAAAGAATGTTTTTCATTTTCAGTCTGCAGTCACAGTATCTACTTTCTTGTCATTTTTGCAAACAGTTGTTTGAAATGCAATGTTGCTTTATACCCTATTTTAACATTCTAAAGGTCTAAGAAGTGACGGGTACAAGCCAGATCTTCTGGGATGGCAGTTCTGACTCTATTGTAAAGTGGCTCTATTTATATTATTTTTACCACAGGAAAGTGTGACCTGCTGTCAATAGACCCCGCCCATAACCAACTCTTAGTTCTCTGATAGATGCCCCATTCCCACTCATCTGCCTCCATACCTAGGGTTTTTTCCTCACTGGCCCATCTTACTGGTGCTAATACCCAGTCATTAGAAACAAGGATGTAATTGGTCTCACCTGTTCTATCTTCCTTAGAAAATGAAGATTAATATTTCTAGGAATCAAAGCATTCTTGTGGGAAAATCTTGTATGTACTAAAATACAAAACTAATGTTTTCCACATACACTTCAAAGTTGTTCTCTGTATCAGTGAGCTAAGTCACATTACTGCCCTAAAATTCAGCACCCCAAAATAACCATTATTAAAGTGTGCTTGTGGTCTCAAGGTCAGCTGTGTTATTCTGCCAATATGAACCAGCGTCAGCTAATCTGAGCTGGGCTCACTCATGCATTTGTGGTCAGCTAGAGGGAAAGCTACAGACTGGTGTAGAATGGCCTCCCCCTGCAAATCTGGCAGTTACTAAACCAGGGCAGTGAATTTGACTGGTTTCTCTCTGTCATCAACTAGCAGGTAAGGTCAGATTTATTCCCATGATGCAAACAGAGTTCTGAGAAGTGTATAGGGTTTCTAGAGACCTGTGCTCAGAACTGACACAGCATCACTTTCTACCACAGTCTGTTAGCCAAAGAAAGACAAAAAGCTATTCCCAAATAAAAGGATGGGAAGTGGATCTGTCCTCTTGGTGGGCAGGACTGCAAAGACATAAAGGGGTATGAACAGAGAGAACCCTGAAAAATTAGTCACTATCAATCTACCACACTACTACACCAAGCATTGATTTCCTTGTAGCAAAGGTGGCTTCATCTCACTAGCCACCCATCTGTAGACTGATTCAGGGAAAAGATCCATATACCCTGATCTACATATGTTTCACTTTCAGAGGGTGCCATTTCTTGACAATGAGCCCACATCTGAGTCTGTTTGAGAGTGCAATCCCCTGCACCAGCTGTAAGGATGATCCATTTCCCTCTCTGTCTTCATTTCTGAGAACAGTTGCTTGTTTTGGTGGAATTCTTCCAACAAAGATTTACCAAAGACTCTGAGGACAGTTCTCAGCTAGTGATTGAATAAATCATTGTTAACATATCGACTCAATCAATCACAAGCTAATTAACTCCAGATCCTGTTAGAAGCTATTGAAATGTCACTTCTCATGGTAGGAAGGAGGCAGAGAGACCTTGGAAGCAGTTCAGTCATCTTCTTTCCTTCTGGCATCTCTACCCTTAAAAACCAGTTAGTCAGGACCATGGATCCCTGGTGGCCATGCAAGGACAATCTTTCTCTGCCATTGCTTCTGTCTTCTTGTCCCTAGGAGGTTTTCTAGTGGCTGTGGAGAAAGGGGAGACTGTACACCTGCTGCTAACCTCCCCCACAGCAATGCTGCTCTCCTCTCTCTACTCAGCACACAGGAAAACAGAATAGCCCCAGCCCTGTCACCCTGGATCAGAACACAGGAATCCAAAAGGAATGGCCACTCCCGGGTAGTGAGAGTGGAGAAAATACTCCTAGAAGACAGGGAACAGGGAAAAAAGTTTTGCTCAAACCAGAAAAACAAGGCTAACTATAGGTATTTATGTCTAAGCTTGGCATTTATAACTAATTAGCATATGGTAATAACATTGCACATATCAATGTGTTTAAAGTTATTTGTGCTCTGCTTTACTTGATCATATTAGACTTTTTCTGTATATGTGGTGTGCCTCTGTATAAATAAAATATCATATAATACTATGTTTTAAAAATTCTAGTATAATCCAATTGAGTAAAAAATAGATACATGTATATCAGCACATATTTACATGTGTGTATGCATATACATATATGTGCACATATATCTACATACATTTTGTATGCATGCATATACAGGGTAGAGCAAAAGTATGTTTACAATTGTGAGTACATGAAACAGTTTATTCTTATATTATTATCTATTAATTATTGTATCATTTTCTTTTTAAAGATTTTATTTATTTTTAGAAAGAGGGAAAGGGAGGGAGAAAAAAGGGAGAGAAATATCAATGTGTGGTTGCCTCTCTCATGGCCCCTACTGGGGACCTGGCCCACAACCCAGGCATGTGCCCTGACTGATAATCGAACCAACAACTCTTTGGTTTGCAGGGTAGGGCTCAATCCACTGAGCCACACCAGCCAGGATTATAATTCTTATATTATTTTCCATATGAACAACTGTAAATGTGCTTTTGCCCCACCCTGTATATGTACATATATTTGTGTATATACACATGCATAAGCACATATGCATATGTGTATATATGTATGCTTGTAATATATGTTTGGGCATAAAATATGTATTTCATATTTATAATATCTACATATATAAATTTTATATGAAAGATATATAATTCTTATATATAAGAAAATTATATAAAAGATATAAATATCTTTTATATCTTTTGAGGCACTTCTGAGGTGACTATAAAAGATATAAATATTTCTCTATATTATATAGCTAAGTATAAACATATACTTATATTTTTTGCTGAAAAATGTCTGAAAGGATACACAAGAATTGGATAATGATTACACTTATGGGGATTTTTTTTTCATTTTCCTTTCTATATGCTTTGACTTTTCAACAGTAGTTCATTTGTAAATGTCACAGAGATTCTTCCAGTTTTTCTCCTCACCTTATCCCCAGCTTAAATTGTAAATTTGAATGACTTTATCTACTGAATCCTTCCAGGAAAAAAAAAGAAATACTCACGGTGTTCTACTAGACAATAGTTTTCATGGGCAGACAGAACAGAATGCAATCATTTCATTGAGCTGCTCACAAAGCCCAAGTCTAGTCACTCCCAGGCCAGGACCCCCAACCCCTGGCAGGACCCTCTTGCAGCCCCCAGTGCCTGCAAGTGTGGGAGTTAGCAGTATCTCCTCTGTCCCCACAGGGCCGAGGCGGCAAAGGCAGCATCTATGTGTGGGCCTCTGGGGATGGCGGCAGCTACGACGACTGCAATTGTGATGGCTATGCCTCAAGCATGTGGACCATCTCCATCAACTCAGCCATCAACGATGGCAGGACAGCCTTGTACGATGAGAGCTGCTCCTCCACCTTGGCTTCCACCTTTAGCAATGGAAGAAAGAGAAACCCCGAGGCCGGAGTGGTGAGTGTGGCCACTGGCCCTCTCTGAGGCTGTGGAATGCACTGGCACCGTAATGTCACTCAAGGACACTGTGACGTCCTAGGAGGAAAGGGAGCTACCCACTTCCCTAAAAAGTCAGCACATCTCTTTCAAGCCTGATAATACATTGTTGTCAAGGCAGACACATTAGAGGCAACCACACATGAATGTTTTCTGCTATACTTAAGTCATAAAGTGTGCAAGTTGAAAGCAAGGATGAGATGATCCCCTTTCAGCTCATTTTCCATAAATGGTCTTTCTTGTTCATTGTTTTGATTTACAAATAATAATAAAGTCTAGTTTATCAAAAAGTTGCCCCAGCAGGTCACGAATAAGGAGAACTAATATAAGGAACTTGGTCACCACATCACCACCTATTTGAACCAAAAACCCATCCACGTATTACAGTAATTAAAAATAGCATACATGCATAATCCTTACTGGGTCTATAAAATTCCCAAAATTGGACATGCATGTGTATTTTCTCAGGGAAAGAGTAGTGGTTTTCATCATAGTTTAAAATGGATCAGTGGTTGAGAAAATAAAAGATTAAGAATCACAGACTTACATTATTTATTGCACTTATCTTTCTTTTTTTTAAGATTGTATTTATTTTATTTTTAGACAGGGGGAAGGGAGGGAGAAAGAGAGTCAGAAAACATTCATGTGTGGTTGCCTGTAGTGTGTCCCCTACTGGGGCCCTGGCCTGCAACCCAGGCATGTTCCTTGACTGGGAATCAAACCAGTGACCTTTTGGTTTGCATGGTGGCACTCAATCCAATGAGCCACACCAGCAAGGGCTATTTATTGCACTTTTCTGAGTAGCTCTTCCTTTCTAGGTAACTAGGTATAATGCTAAATTTTCCAAGCCATTTTAAAAAAAATACCTGTTGAGTGTAATGAACATTTTTGGATCTCTTCCTCCTCTGTGTATTTTACCAACAGAGCAGCCTTTCCTCAGACCTCCAAGTCAGGAATTTAGTAGGTAGTTCTATACTGAGTGAGTTACATTCTGACTGGCCATCACCTCAACTGGGGCTTCCCAGGGAAGGAAGACAAGAACTGAGAACACGAGCTTCTATTCCAAGTTCCCACCTGGACTCCACCTTGGTGAGCTGGCCAGGCTCTCATGTGATCCAGGAGATGCCTTTACCTAAAGGAGACACAGACCTTGACCTGGCTCCCTCCATGAGCCCTCCTGGGCTTCCACCTGGTTTGGGGGGATGACAGAGAGTATGCCAGCTCCTTCTGAGTGAAGTAGGCTTCAGCTTCTCCTATCCTATGAGAGGTATAGGCCAAAAGGGAGACAAACAGAACAGAAAGGGGCAAGTGAGGGAGGCCCCAATCCTGTTTTGTTTGTAGTGCTTCTCTCATCCCTCAGAAGCTCTACTCCCCTCCCCAAAGACCTCCCAATGGTGTCACTTTGTCCTCAACATTATCTATGACTCTCTTTTTACTAGAGCTGAGGAAGGGCCTTGAGTTCCCCCTGAATATTGTAATTTTTCCCCACCATATGCCTTTAAACCTCCTTGATACTTTGTTCCTGAAAATAATAGGCCCACTTGAGGATCCTACAAACAGAGGAAGACAAATTCTTGTGGCTCATACATGATTTTAGTGAAAGCCTGGCTCTCACAAACATTGAAAGTGAGGTTTTTCTCTTTGTGAAAGTTCTTGATCATTAAGAAGATCTTCCTCCTTAAAGAAGAGTTGTGGAGGGGGTAACTTATATGTGGGTTATCTTGCCTCAACATGTCTCAGAATCTCTTTATGAATTTTAGACGTAGAGAGGCACTTTCTTTTTAATGGCCTGTTCATTTAGGCAAGCTTTAGCTGAGCCTATTTATTCTTCCCTCTTTGGGAGTGCCTTTCCTTCCTGAAGGGAAAAGAAATGTTGATGCAATAGCCCTTAGGCTTTTTGAAAGCTAATCCCAATTGCAACAAAACCCACCACTATTGACCATCCTAGTTGTACTGACTTGTGACTCTCCACCTATTGTGTCTCATTTTAGGATCCAGAAAATAAATGTCTCTCTAGTCTCTGGAATAGCTGCAGATATGCTTCTCTGAACAATTGGCTTGCTCTTATCTTGTGGGCACTATGATATAACTGATTGTGTGTCCCATTTTGCATGGGCTGCTAGGAAATACAGATAAAACGTATGGCAAAATATATGTCTGGGTGCTAAGTTTTTCCTTACCTTCATCTTAATCTTCTTCAGGACAAGGTAGAATTTAAGTAAAAGAAATAGATAATCCTCTGGTCCATATTGTTTTAGGATTCAAAATACTATGACTCATTACTCAATATCTTCCTTTTCAGGCAACTACAGATTTGTATGGCAACTGTACTCTGAGGCATTCTGGGACATCTGCAGCAGCTCCAGAGGCAGCTGGAGTGTTTGCTCTGGCTTTAGAGGCTAAGTATGTTTCCACCTCGGGGCTGAGGGCCACCTCTGCAGGGTCAACTAATGTGTTTCTCAACCCAACACCAGGTGTCCATGGAGGCAAAAATAGGTGTAAGAGATTATAAATAATCAGGGTCAATAAGCTCTGGTGGGTATTTCTAAATGAACCATGGGCCTTAAGTCTCTCTCTTTCTCACTCACTCTCACTCTCACTCACACACACACACACACACACACACCACCACCACAAAACTACAATAGGCCCACTTGAGGATCATACAAACAGAGAAAGGAGAAGTCCTATGGTTCATACATAATTTTAAGGAAAACCTGGCTCTCACAAACATTGACAGTGAAGTTTTTCTCTTTGTGAAATAGTTTTAAAGATTTTATTTATTTTTATTTTTAGACAGAGGGGAAGGGGGAGAAAGAAAGATTAATGTGTGGTTGCCTCTCATAGACCCCTCAGTGGGGACCTGGCCCACAACCCAGGCATGTGACTTGACTTGGAATCAAACTGTTGACCCTGTGGTTCTCAGGACAGCACTCAATCCACTGAGCTACACTAGCCAGAGCTCTTTGTGAAAGTTTTTAAAAACTCGGTTGATCATTAAGAAGTTTTCCCTGTTAAGAAGAGTTGTGGGAGGATCACTCAGATATTGGTTATCTTGGCTCAACATGTCTCAGAATCTCTCCATGAATTTTAGATGCAAAGAAATACTTTCTTTTTAATGGCCTGTCCTTTTGGCAAGCTTTAACTGAACCTATTTATTCCTCCTTTGAGAGTGCCATTCCTTCCTGAAGGGAAAAGAAATGTTGATGCAATAGCCCTTAGGAGAGTACATCCCTAGGACAGTACATGACCCCAACACCCAACCACACATATCAGTCATTTACTCAGGTACCAAATGGGAGTATGAAGATATTTTTTTCATTATAAGAACCTCTCTTGTCTATGGCCATACCACCCTGAACTCACCCGATCTCGTCTGATCAAGAACCTCTTTTTATCGTTTGGCTATTTTACTCCAGTAATACAATCAGCTAAATGAAAAAAGAAACTATTGCCAAGTTGGGTATCTACCAAGGTATTTCAGAATATGTGTCAAACAGGGTGCTCCCACTCAAGATTTGTTAACTTATAAGGTGAATCCACTTTTTTAAAATATTTTATTCATTTATTTATTTTTAGAGGGGAAGGGAAGGAGAGAGGGAGAGAACTATCAATATATGGTTGCCTCTCATGCATCCCCTGCTGGGAACTGGCCTGCAACCCAGACATGTGCCCTAACTGGGAATCGAACCATGATACTCTGGCTCACAGGCCCGCGCTCAATCCACTGAGCTATGCCAGCCAGGGCTGAATCCACTTTTTAATACTGACACAAGATAGTCAAAGTCACCTAATATAGACCAAAAAATGGGCTTTACTGGAAAACTTTCCAAGCTACAAGTAAGAGGCTACTATCCTCTCTGTTCATGCCATCCCACAGAGAGGCCACATATCACTATTGCTGGCCACACCTTGGATGTAAATATCAGGTGAGGCACTCGCTTACCTGCTATTTGATATTCTCTTAGTACAAACCAGAGGCTAGCCTTGTGTTTGAGCAATGAACATATGGATTTCAGGCACCATGCACTCAGTGTGAGTGCAAATACCCACCATATAGGAATTTGTGTGAGAATTCAGCACCAGCAATTTGTGAGAAGTTGGATTCATACTCCTGGCGAAGCTGAGCTGTGTCCCCAACCCTGGCCCCTCAGCTTGTCACTAGGCAACTAGAGCTTTGAGCTTCAATCTCCAGGCAGCCCTGCTTATCTCTCTTCATATATGCATTTTTTGATTTGTAGAAGAGGCAGGAATTACTTCCTAGACTACGAAGGGACTTTGAAAGACTATCTAGTCCAACCCTCTGCTTTCAAGCCAAAAAATGCATAATCATCCTCCTTTTACAGATAAAGCCCAAAATTGGGAGTGACTCCTCTCTTTGGACCAAGTCAAACTTTAATTCTTTTAACAAAAGTCAGGTGGAAATTTTAGGACATCAAGAGATGGACACTGGTCAAAGAGTTCCTAGTAAGTGCAGAGATCAAAACTTAGTCACAGATTACATGCATTCCTGAACATGAACTCTTAATCTCAGAGCTTGCTGGGCCCTGGAGCCTGCACTGGCTTTGCTCACTCCAGCTGGGAGCAGTCAAAGTGAGCCTGCTGCCTGCTGCTTAGTCTGGCAGAACTCAGGGAGCAAGAGTGCTCCAAAAGCAAGAGGGCATTTCTGGTTTCCTTTTAAATGTAAAAGGACAGAACTTGACTCAAAGTCTCCTTGGATTTTGGCAAACAAAAATCCACTTGCCTGGGGCAATACATATGCAAAGGGACAACCTAAATAAATCAAAGTGATAGAGCAAGGCCACTAGATCTCTGGACAGACTGATGGGTTCTGCACCAGTTTTCTTGAGCACACATTTGTAGATAGCCTTACAGAGCAGACACCACTTAGGCACACTTTGTTTTAGAGCAGTTACCGTGAATTTAAATCTCTCGATTGTCAGGCAGCAGAGGATAGCTGGCAGGAGGTGTTTCAAGACCAGGTTTTAGGTCTGGGTGCCACTCCTAAAATACTTCACAATACCAATCATCTGAATTGGAAAACACTCTGAGATGAGATTCCTGCAAGTGATTTCTTAATGAAGGACTCCAGGAAATACCAAAAGGAAATAGAAGAAGCAGGTTAGGGATGGGGAAACACCAAGCAAATATGCAGTTTCAGAAGTTCTAGCTTCAGCCTGATCCCGTGGGGAATTCTGCAGTATAAACTTTTATGCCTCAGAATTTCTTCTCCCTCGAGGCAAGTGAGCTGTGCTACCATGTTCTTGTGCTGACCAGTCCTTGGCTGGGAATCATGGCTTGGAATGTAAACTCCAGACACCTCTGGCTTTCTGTACCTGTGGGCAGAGGGGCTTCAGTAGTCCACAGTTAAAACCACTAGTCAGCATGAAACAGCCAGTCCCAAGAGAGAGCCCAGAGGGATGAGGAGAGAAAGACTCTCCAGGAACCATTCCTACAGCTCTTCTCTATCATGAAACAAGGCAACTGGGAGTCCTTGGTGACACGTTCGACAGCAGTTGAGGCCTCTTTCCCTCCCAGAGGCACAGTGAAACAAAACTTTTACAGAGCAATGTGAATGCAGTAAGCAAATTATCCTGTCCCAGTGTATGCCTATCAGGACTTTGAAAGAGGGAGAACAACCACCCCACAACCACCTGCAGGACTCCAGGGAGAAAAGGAAACCCTTTTCTGTCCTGCCCAGTCACCAGTTTTTAAATCTCATCAAGTACTTCTCTGACAAATGCTTGAAAATAGCTTCTTGAGTAACAAGGAATTTTGTTCACATTTCCCAGTGTGAACAAATTTCAAAGAATTTCTTTAGTGGATGTGGGGGCATGGTTACCTGCCAACTGTGAATATTTGGGGTTCTCTCCATGACCTCAGACTTTCTGTGTTGTCCTAGAGGTCTGAACTAGGTTTGAGGGGCGGATGTCATGAAGAGGCACATTTTGGGCTCAAAAAAACTATCCATAGTAATGTGGCCCACATATTGGACTAGTATAACAGAAGTTCTGAGTTCTGTTACCTGCTGCTGCTAAGAAGCATGACTCCCAATGCCAGCATCTTATGAAAAAGAAAGGAACTATTTATTCAAAAGTTATACAGATTTAAAATAATGATGGAGTTCTGCCATTAAATCCAACACCCCTTAGAAACAAAAAAACACCCACAAACACACAGTCCTGCCTCCCTTTGACAAACCGGGCCAGAGATACCGTCTCTCAGGAAAAGAAATAGAAATCTGTATCTTACCTAGGTAGATTCCCATTTTAACATTCCAGCTTCTCCCAGGCTTCTGTCATCATCTAGGCTCCTGCTCTGAATCCAAACCACATCCTCATGGTGGGGGTCCTTCTGCAACCTTTCAAACTGCATGGCCAAGACAGCATGGCTGAAAGAGAGACTGACTGCCCCTGCACCTGGATTTAAATCCTAGCACAGATCTTCCTTCATAACCCTATTTCTGACCCCTCCCACAATGGGTTACACCTGCCAATAGTCTGGTCTCTTCTGCCTTTCTCAGCTGCCATATTGGTCTGGGCAAGTGTGGCCCTGTAATGTAGGAACCACTGCCAAGCTGTTAATACAGGTGCAGCAACCAGGGCACTACCTCTGGGCTGCATCATGGGTTAGAGCCATGGCCAGGCCATTAGCAGCAGACACAGCTTTTAGCATTACTAAAATACTGGCCAAGTTCTTTAGATATGCAAAGTAACTCTCAATGGCCCTGCTCTGCTTCCCCCATCCACCAAGTGATAGCTGTGGGGGGGTTTCTCCATTTTGGGGAACCAAAATTACAATAGAACAATATTTCCAAAACTGACCTTCCAGGGGATGGATTTTTACATGTAAACTCATTATCAAAGTATAACAGATGCTGAGAAAAGTGTACACATATTAGGTATAGCTCAATGACTTATTACAAGGTTAACAGATCCATGTAACCAGCACCCAAATCAAATAGCAGACTGTTACCTAAGTGCCAGTCTGTGCTCTTTTACTCTGAAAGTCTGAGACATTTCCTCATGCTATTGTGTGTTGTTATAGGTCATTCACACTTATTGTGGAATATTACTCCATTATAGATACCTGGGTTTTTTCCACTTTAGGGCTATGATGAGTAATATTGTTGCAGGAAAATGAAGCAACCAGACACCGAGGGTTTGTGGAGTACGAGGTTTATTTTAACGTGCATATGGGCCCAGAGGAGTCAGTATCCAAATTCTGAGCCCCGAGCAAAGAATTCTTGGGGTTTTTATAGTTTACAGGGTCTTCTTGTCTATGTAGCAAAGCGGGTTACAGAAGTGGAATGCAGAAGTTAGTTCTAGCTATGGGGCAGAAGCAGAGTACAAAGGCTAAATTCAGTTTTTAATAGCAGGGGTGTTAATCTCAGTCCTAGCTAA